CCCGTATGCACTTCATCTCTCGCCACCTCAACCATCCGATGAATACAAATGACGCGAACTAACCTGTCGTGAACTGGTCTTGGTGGCCTTTAAAGCATTGGAGCTGAAACAGAGCGGTCACGAGACCACTCGTGGCTTAACGCAAGGTCACAAATCCTCACACACTGTGCTGGCAACTAAGCGTAAATGACAGAATATGAACTTGGCATCAAAGGGAGAACGGAAAATGACAAATTGTGGTGAAAAAACTTAGAAAATACCAATTTTTATTAAATGTTCATATTGAGGAATTCCCTTCCTGAGTCTCAGAGGACACAGCGGTTATTCTGGCGTTCTAGTCACCTAAACTTTTAGTCTAGGACGAATGCACATAATTCCTGGAAGAGTTCATGAGTCGTAGTTTTTAGATCAATAAACCTGGATTGATGTTGTTTGAATATACTATCTAAATTATCTTTAACTTCCACTACCAGATCCGGACTTTTTAGGTTGAGGGGAATGGCCAGATGGAGACAATTCATTTTGTGTATTATAGAGTGAGATGTTTGCAGTATATCGGTGCTTTACGGGAGATAAGCGTCATTTTTCTCTTTTTCTCTTTTATAATTTTTGCTTCCTTAAAAGTGCTGAGAGTACTATTCGACTGTATAAACTGGCTGTGTCATTTCGAACCTTCCCTCACAATCTTGCGTCCGATCAATTGTGGTAACTAAATATGTAATTCTTTCATGCCAATTAAAAGTGTTATTTACGACATTGCCAATTCGTGAAATGTTTACGGCGAATGTTCTCAGATCGGGTTTTGCAAATGTAGCCAATTCTCCTTAAATGTGTAGAAAATAGCGGCATTTGCACTTCAGGCGTATTCCTGAACGTGAAAGATGATATGAATAAAAAAAAGCACACTTAAAGTATGGTGCCCTTTGGATATTAAAAGAGTAATTTCTCACTAAGCACACAAAATTCTGTTTTATTATACGTATTAACTCTAGGTTTGAAAACATCAATCAAATGTAAAGAACATAAGATGCGTATATGAACAAATAACAAGTAGGCTTAATCAAATTCGTAGAGGAAATTAAATGCTGTATGTTAAATTCTTTGAAAAAAATGATGCGCTTAAGATCGTCAGCTGGCACTATGAATGTTATGTTTTGTTCAATAATACATTGACAATTTCCAAAATGTGGAAGTGGAATTGACTTCACCTGTACAAAAATTACTTAATTGGCATGATTCCCCAGTTTGTTTTTTTCATTATTCAAAGGAATTAAATTGATAATTTAAATAACATGTTGCAGGAAAACAAGCAATACTGAACACAATTAAATAAAACTACTACTTACTGTACATATTTGGATATATACTTCTTTTGTGTTAGTTTTTCCACCTTTCTGTAGTCACAGTAAATCAATAACTGGCACGAAGAATGTCTTCCAAAGGCCCACATTTCCACCGTAAATTACTAGAACCTCTTGTTTTCAAACGTCATTTAGTTTAATGGTACATCCTTTAAGCAAGGACAAAACGCTACCTGTAGGTTAGAAACATCAATCAAATGTAAAGGACATAAGATACGCTTATGAACAAACAACAAGTAGTCTTGACCGAATTTGTAAAGGATGTCAAATGATGTATGCCAGATACTTTGAAAAAAATGACGTACCCAAGATGGTTCGTTTGCACCTTAAATATCAAGTTATGTTCTATATAACATTGACCTTTTCCAGATTGTAAAATGGAAATGACTTCACCTGTACGAGAAATACATAATTAGCATGATTCCTTGGCTTATTTTTTCAGTAATCAGAGGGATCAATTGATACCTAAAAATATATGTCATAGGAAAATAAGCAATACTAAACACAGTTGAATGAAACTGCAATATATTGTGCATATTTGGATGTATACTTCGTTCATGGCAATTTTTCACCTGTCTATGGTCACGAGAAGTCAATAATTGGCACGAAGAATGTCTTCGAAAGGCGCGCATTTCCAGTGCAAATTGATAGAAACACTTGTTTGCAAACCTTATTTGGAGCAATGTCTACATCCCTCAAACTAAAACAAAACGATCTACATATCTGGCCCTATCTCCTCTGATACTGCACCTACACTGCTATCGGTTACGCAATAAATTAAGCTGATGCAGCTTTCTTTGGCAAAAGCCTAACAAGTGATTGCTGGCTATGCCTACGTCAATGGGAATTACCTATTTGTAGTAAAAAGTCGACAAAAGGAGGAGGATTTAAGAAGTTTCTACTCACTCATACGGCACGGGTAACCCCAGGATTCTCTGTCAATGTTACACTTCTCATTTCTAATTCCGGATTTTAGACACTTTATCATGTCTTTTTTAAGAGGTAGTCATACGGAACAATGGTGTTTACTGTTACGTTATTGATGCAAATGCAGGAAAACTTCCTCATATAATGTAGATATCTACCTCTGTTGTAATCAAGCAGTCAATCCAGTAGTTCAAGCAAGGTTAGGAAAATTATCAATTTATACAGTTGTTTAGTACTCACGGCACATTTAGGGAAGCGAAAAACCACAAGAGATGATGGGCCCTCTGGTGTTTCAACAATACGAGACTCCCATAGAAGTGCATCTGCTTCTGTATAAAAAGGTAAATACACATTTGAATATCTTCTTATGCGTCAATATGCAAATGCTCAGATCGTTTTGTAAGCAAAGTCAATGGTAGTGCGCCAACACACTCTATCAATTCTAGGCGCTTCTGTTTATAAATCAGGAGAGACCTTCTCTATTCTCGAGGTATTTTCAAACATATCCAGTCACAACGTCTACAATGAGTGCATCATTACTGCTTTTATTACGGGTTGAGATTCGGGCACGATTTATTTGAGCATAGAACATTGAGGCACCACCTACAGTGATAGGCTATAGCGGATTGGTTAGTGGTGTATTTGCTGTCTCATAAAAGCTAAGTCATGCACACCAAATTGTACAAACCAAATTTATGCCCACCTGAATGCATGATCCATTGATACAAAATTTGCAGTGTAGCCTTAAAAGCTGCGCAGTTAGACTCATTAATTTTACGAAGTCACAGCATAAGGTGGCATGGCTAATGAGAATTACAGTTAAAACCAAAGGATAGGCGCGCATCTCAGCAGAGCACAGCAGGATAAAGAGCTGCAAAAAGTTCTCACTAGTTTAGCACTTACAACAATGTTTTAGTAAACAGTCCAGGCATTTTTAAGCTGCAAATTTTATGATTATATTGGTTTTATTTATCACTTACGAGTGCTTAAATTATTTTAATAGTGCTTAGGTTACTATTAATGTTCAGTGGATCAATACATAGTACAAGATATTTACTAGCTGTAATATTTTAGTTAATCTAGACATACATGTCACTTTATTCTCATGATCTGACCCACTTATTGTTTTTGCATACACTTAAGTTTACTCAAGCGTGTTTATATGAATGAAGTCGTTTGCACAACCATATGCAACTGCAATTCATATTGTTTAAAATAATTACAGTGACTATGCATTTCTAGCTAAGTACATCTGATATCAGGCCAATTTCCTACAGGATGCGCAATGTGTATCGGAAAATTTATAGTGGGAGTGAATACTAAGAGATGGAATAGTAGCAGGAGTAAT